GTCCTACACGTACCCTGGCTCTCATGAGCACCAGTGGGTGCTGGAGTCTAGCTTAGTCTGGCACACCAGATCCAGTCCACACCCATGCTGAGGGACATTGCAGGTATGTCCAGCCCAGATTGCTGTCCCCCCCCCACCCCCCGCCATTCTGGCTTTTGTGCTCACCAGTAGAAGCTACAACCCAGTTGTGACATTCTCTTAACTCCCCAACCTGGTCTGTTCCCAGCCGCTGATCTTGTGCATGCTGGTGGTGGCTCTGGCCCAGCTCAGGACAGCCTATCCCCCATCTTGTGCAGCCTTTTGTTTTCTGGTAGTGTTTGTTTACTTTCTCTGTGCCTAATTCATCTCTGCTCTCATTGCTTGTTGTCTCAGTTTCCTTTTAGGATGCAGTCGCAGGTGTGGGTGATCTTACTAATGTCATGTAGCTAGCTGGTGGAGTTTCCCCCGGAGCCTCTGCCCTTTGTATTTGGTGTGCAGCTCTCATCCTGGGACTTCCAGTCAGTCACCTTTCTCCCATGTTAGGTCTCCTACTTCTGCAGCTCATGTCTTATTCTCTGTTGATATATCCCTTTGCCTCCTTGATTTGGCAGAGTACAACCTGACAAAGGATACATGAGAGGTTAATGTTTTGAGAAATTTCATTTGTAAAGTATTTTAGCTAAAATTGCTGCCTGTGATGCTGGCATCTCTTATATGTGCCGGTCCCTGTCCCAGCTGCTCTACTTCCAATCCAGCTCCCTGCTAATGCACGTCTGAAAGGTAGTAGAAGGTGTTACAGGAAGCTCCTGGCTCGTAGTTTCACCCTGGGCAACTGTTGGCTGTTGTGGCCGTATGGGGAGTAAACAAGCAGATACATGAGCTCTTTCCCCACGACTGCTCCTTTTCCTCTCCTCCCTCTCCCCCTGTCTGTAACATATTTTCTTTAAGATTTATTTGACTTGCAGTTGTTATACATACACAGAAGGAGAGGCAGAGTGAGAGCTCTTGCATCTGCTGGTTCATTCTCCAAATGGTCTCAGCCATCAGAGCTGAACTGCTCTGAAGCCAGGAGCCAGGAGCTTGTTCCGATTCTCCCACTTGGGAGCAGGGGCCCAAGCCCTTGAACCATCCACTGCTTTTCTAGGGCATTAGCAGGGATCTAGATCTAAGGTAGGGCAACCAGGATTTGAACCAACACCAGAATGGGATGCTGGCACTGCAGGTGAAGGGTACACCGCTACACCAGTGCCCTGTCACTCTTTCAAATAAATTTCTAAGGTTACGCACTGTTCTTTAAACCTTTTTTTCTCTTCTCTTTTTGGAGTTCTTTATTTTTTTTAAATGTTTAACTTCTGGAGTGATCCTACACTTGACTTGCTTTTCCAGTTGTCATTTTTTTTCTTTTTTCTTCATATTCTAAGTCCTTAAGTTCCTTATTTGTGTTGTTGTTGATGAAGGAGACAGTTTGGCCTTTTTAGTCAAGAGTATGTTCGTAAAATACTCGGATAAAGAAATATTGTCAGCACCCTAAAGTCTAGTTCCTGTGTTCTTCAAAAGTAACCTCATATTAACTTTTTTTTCTGTTAAGCTTCACGTTGTCTGTGGATTCTCAAGAAGGATGTGGATCTGCGCTCGTTGCCCTGTCCCCCTGCCCCATGCTACGGATGCACAGCTGACATTGGTACCACTGAGATTCTGAGCTTAACCACCTTTCACCACTGGTTTATAGCCACCACTTCCCTCCCCCCAGTCTCTGGCACTTACTTGTTCTTCTTCTGAATGCTCTTGTCATTTCAGGAATCTCTGAATGGATTCATACCCTGTGTGATCTTTCCAGATTGGCTTTTTTTCACTCTTTTTGTTTTCTAGAGCTCACCCAGGTTACTAAACGTGTCAGACATTTTTTTTGTCCCATTTTATGATGTCAGAATCTTCCATGGGATTGCTGTACTACAGCTTGTTTGATCTTTTGTCCATTGAAGGGCATCTAGGTGGTTTCCAATTTTGACTCTGAGCAATAAAAGTGCTGTAACCATAGATTTTTATGAGAAAATACGTTTTCATTTCTCTGGGATAAATTCCCAGATGTATGATTGCTGAGTTATGTGGCATTGAAATGTTTAGTTTTGTAAGAAACTGCCAAACTGTTTTCTGGAGTGGTTGGGCATTTTATGTCCCCACCAGCAATGTGTATCTAATCCTATAGTTGTACATCCTTATTAGAATTTGTTATCGTCACTGGTTTAAATATTCTTAGAGGTGTTTAGTGATATCTCATTGCTAATTTAGCATTTCCCTGATAGTTATAAATCCTGGACATCTTTTTGTGTACTTAGTATCAGTACTCTTATTCCTTCTCATATCATTTGTTTTAGTTGTACTTTTAAACAGATTTTTTTTAAATTGCAGAAATTAATTCTTCCATAGATATGTAGTTTGCGTGCTTTTTTCCTATTCTATATCTTGTCTTTTCATGAGGATCTTTTGATTTTTGGCATATAGTCCTGAGTGTGGTTCTTTTATACTTAAATATTTCTTTTTTGAAGCATTTGTAAATGATCGTATCTTTAACTCAGTTTCTTTGGATGGAGATGAAGAGAGAAAGAAGCACACAGAGAGATACTGAGATATCGCATATTTCTTGGTTTACGCTCCTCATGCCTCCAGCTGATGAGGGTGGGCTAGGCTGGGCTGAAGCCGAAAGCCAGAGAGTCAGTCTGGGTCTCTCTTATGGGTGGTGGACCCCAGTTCTTGCACCATCACCTGCTGCTTACCAGTGTGTATATAAACAGGAAACTGGAATTGGGAATGGAGCCAAAATTTAAACATAGGTACTCTGATATGAGGTGAGTGCTTCCAAAGTGTGGTCTGAGCTGCTATGTTAAATGCTCACCTGCTGTTATGTTTTGAATTTTGGTGTCCATGTTTATGACTTGTTGTATGTTTATCTTGTAGCCTGGGGTACTTGCTGAACTCACTAGTTCTGGAAGTCGTTGTAGGTTTCTTGAGATTTCCTATATAGACAATCACATCAACTGATAAAAGGAGTAGTTCATTTCTTCCTTTTTGATTGGCTGTCTTCTGTTTCCTTTTCTTTCCAGTTCACTGGGTAGAGCTTCCATTTGTATAAGCCAATCTGTGAAGTGCCTTTTCAAGTTTTTTGCTCATTTTTTCCTTTTAGGGTTCCTGATGTCTTCCAAAAATTTAAAAAATTTAATTATGTGTGTCTGTGTGTGTGTCTGTGAGAGAGAGAGAGATTGAAAGAGAGAAATGCTGCTTTACTCCCCAGATGCCCACAGCAGCGAGGGCTGATCCAACCCAGAGTTGGAAATCATTTGGTTCTCCCACATGGTTAGTGAGGCCCTAAGTCCTTTAGCCTGTATATCAGCAGGCGGCTGGAATGGGAAACAGAGCCAGTGCTTGAACCCAGGCACCCCCGTGTTTTCTGCCTCTGAAGGGAGGTTTTAACCACTGCATGGGTGCCCATCCCTTTCCTGTTAATTTTAAGAAAGAACCTTTATTTATCTGGAGCCATTCTTTTGTCACACGTATATAAAACCTTTACCAGAATAGTTTCTCCAACCCTTTGACTCAACAATTCAGTCTATAGTGTTAAACTTTAGTGAATTGAAGTTCTTAATGTGTCCAGTTATTTGGTTTGTCATGCTTAGTGAATTTGTGTCCTGCTTGATAGATTATTTTATATTTTAGTTCTTGAAGATACATTTCTGTATTTTCTGAAAAATGTGTACTTTTATTATTTTAAACTCCATAATCCATCTTGGTTTGATTTTTATGTATAGTGTAAAGTAGAAGTAGCCATATTGTTGATTTTTTTCCCTATGAAGTTAAGTTGCTTTAAAATCTTTTTTTGATATCATCTCTTGATAGTTCATTTATGCTGTAGTTCTTATGATTTACAGCCACCTCTTTCGTTGGAGCATCCGTGCCTGTTATCTGCTGCAGCCTCTTTCCTTGGAAGCTCTCCTGTTTGTTTCATGGTTGCATTGTTTTCCCCCTGTTCTGACATATTAATAATACACCTAAAAATATTTTCTTCCTACACAGCTCCTGGTTTGTCTCTGCTGACTTTTTGTTTCGTATTTTTCTCTTGATTTTTTCCCCCCACACAATCCCTGGTAGCCACTCCTGTTTAGTGGAAAGGTTGATAGCTTTGAACTCCTGTGGAGAATTGTTTAGGGAGGCTTCAAAGTCGACAGGTTCTCCAGGGAGGGGCCTTCTTATTTCCTGCTTGAAGGAGGAAAGTCTTGCAGCCTCTGGGAACCTAAACATGAAAGTGAGAGGGGAGGTGTGGGTGGGGGAGTCAGGGTTCAAGACCAGATGTGTATATTCAGACCAGATGTGTGCACTCATGGTACTGCTAGGCTCTGCACACTACTGCTACTCTATGGTTAGGGAGCCTCTGTTTTAACTTATGTGCAGGGAGAAAATCTGTAGTTATTTGGCCAGTTGCACTGAATAGAAAAGTAATGTTTGGACAGTTTGAGTTAGGGCAACGTGAACAACTGGTAGACCACTCATGTTTTCTGTCCCCTACTCCACCTCCATCTCTCTTTTCCTCCCCTTCCTCTCCTCCCCTTCCTCTCCTCCTCTCCATTCCTTCTCCTCCCTTCCCTCTCCTCTCCTTCCCTCCCTCCCTTTCTTTTTCTCCTTCTTCTTCCCCTCTCCTTCCCCCCTCCTCTCCCTCTCTTCTTCCCCTCTCCATATCTTAGTTTAGACATGATTCATGTCATTTGTACATTTCCCCTGGGAATCAGTGAAAAGAATAAGAACCCGAGTTATAAACCTGACATTGGAAAATGTAAGTTAGTGGCCACCAGGAATATTTATTTTTGGTAAGCCTGTTTATAATATTGGTTACAAGCAATAAGCAGTTCAAATTCTCTGTCACAGTGATGACTTTAGATGCAATGTAAAATATCTGTTTCCTGAAGGTTGAAATTCTGTTTACCTGTTAGGATTTTTTTTTCCTAAGCCATCTTTTCAACTTTGCTTTACAGATCAACAATCACAATCTTGAAGATTTAAAGGTTCTGATGGTGGTGGTAAGCCATGGCGGCAGATGACAAAGTTGCTATCTTAACGGATGATGAAGAGGAGCACAAGAGAAAGTATGTGCTTGCTGATCCATTTAACGGCATTTCCAGGGAACCAGACCCACCTTCCAACGAAACACCCTCCTCCACAGACACACCTGCTCAGCCTGAGGAGGAAATAGACTGGATAGAGAAACACTGTGTCAAAGTGAACAATGATCTTCTGATTTCCAAGGTTTTCTACTTTTTCTTTTACTCTGCTTATGGCTCTCTCTACCCCCTTTTGCCTGTGTATTACAAACAGCTGGGAATGTCCCCCAGCCAGAGTGGACTGCTAGTAGGTATTCGATACTTCATTGAGTTCTGCAGTGCACCCTTTTGGGGTGTGGTTGCAGATCGCTTTAAAAAAGGCAAGATTGTTCTCCTGTTTTCTCTTTTGTGTTGGGTTTTATTCAACCTGGGCATTGGGTTTGTGAAACCTGCTACCCTGAGATGTGTACCAAAGATTGCCCCAACAACACCTCCCACCAACTCAAGTCACCTGTTTACCATCCTGCCAACAAATTCTTCTGGTACCTCCCTCCTCACCACATCACCAAAAATACGTGATAAGAGGAACCTGCTTCCTTCTGATTGGCCACTAATCGAAACAGGCCTGAACACCACGGACCCTGTTACCTATTCAACAGCTTCAAACACCAGTGCATCTGTCCCGCAACTCCAGACATATGGAACAACTCTCCGCCCTGTGGACTTGACCTTGAGCCCAAGCACAGCAACACCTACGTCCCCAGGAAATGCAACCAGAGAGACAACCACTGTTGTTATCACTACCACTAAATCTTTGCCTGCTGACCAAGTCATTCTTGTGTATGATCAGGAGGAAGTTGAAGCTATATTCTTGGTGATTCTGGTAGTTGTCATAATAGGTGAATTTTTCAGTGCCTCTTCTGTCACGATTGTGGACACAGTGACACTCCAGTACCTGGGAAAGCACAGAGACCGCTATGGGTTGCAGCGCATGTGGGGCTCCCTGGGCTGGGGCTTGGCCATGCTGTCTGTGGGCATTGGGATTGATTACACCCACATAGATGTGCTCATCGATGGAAAAGGGTGTAAACCCCCCGAGTACCGGAACTACCAGATTGTCTTCATCGTCTTTGGTGTTCTCATGACCATGGCCTTGATTGTTGCTACTCAGTTCCGGTTCCGCTACAACCACTTCCAAAGCAATGATAAGGGGAAGGAGGTAGAGATCCCGCAGGTGGAAAGAAACAACTCTGCAGAGTCCTCGGAGGAGACGCCGCCCTCCACAAGCCCCTCGCAGACCTTCAACTTCTGGGACTTGATCAGACTGCTCTGTAGCGTGCAGTACGGCTCGGTGTTGTTCGTGGCGTGGTTTATGGGGTTTGGATATGGCTTTGTGTTCACCTTTCTCTACTGGCATCTGGAAGATCTGAATGGAACTACAACACTCTTTGGAGTCTGTTCGGTCCTGAGTCACGTATCTGAACTGACTGCTTATTTTTTCAGTCACAAGCTCATTGAATTGATTGGCCACATCAGGTAAGAAAGGCATATGCATCAGTATCCTATCTAGAAAGTGAGCCCTACCTTTGTACAGCTCCTCTCGCCTATCCTTACATGGGGAATCTTGTTAAGGATATTACAGTGTGCGTTTGGGTAGGATTGGGAGTGGGAATGAGGGTTTCTCTTTTTTCCTTAAAACAAAAGCAAGAGAAAGGATTCATGAACATGGTTGGATTATTTCAAACAAAAAGTGGCTGCCTGTTTTTTTCCACCTGTCAGACAAGATTTTGAGGCTAGTTAGCCATGTGTAGCTGTGTATGTTGAGGCTTGGGAGCACCGACTTAGTGAACTGTATCAGTCCATGTGACTTAATGGACCAGCTGTCCCAGGCATTAGTGAAGGAGGACTTCAGTAGATGAATTAGATTGTGGGTTGTTGTTGTTGTTTTTAGCCTTCATTCAACCTCCTTAGACTAAATGGAAGAAATTCCTTCATAGTTTTCTTTTTTTCCTTTCTGATTGTAGCATAAGTCTCTGCATTTTTGTCTACTCTAAAGACATGTGATATTTAGAAATCTTTACTTGATTCTCCCCTTGTGAACCCTTTCCAAAAAAAGTAAAGCTCTGTACATGCTTATTGTTTCCAGGTCATAATGTTTCTGAGTGTTAATGTTTACCTGCAGCTCATTCCATATTATTCTTTGTAGGTCTTTCTGCTGTAGTGCTAACTTTGAGATGTGGAGCCAGCTGTACTTCAGCGTTCTGGTCTCCTAAAAATGTCTGTCCCTAGATTTGGAACTTGTTGTAACTAAGAGAAGGCAGCTGTGTGTGACTGTGTGTACGTGGTGATCTTTAAACCTGATATTTCTGTCAGAAATCAAAAGGAAAAATAGAGAATCACAAGGTTTAAAAACTGGAGGGAGTATTTTCTCATTGGAAATTAACCTAGAATCATTCTTTTTCCTGAAACAATTGTGAATGTTTTTTCTTGTTTGGTTTGGTTTTGCTTTGGGTGACTATGCCCTATTCCTTCTCTGTCTCAAATGTTTGACCCCTTTGTTTTCTCTAAACAAAGTAAGCCTCTGTGTGGATGGTTCCCAGATGTGCAGAATCCCGGAGGCATGTTCAGTGCAGCTATTCTGGAAAATAACTTTATCTTATTAAGAATGTGGAATGTCCTCTAACCTTATCCAGGCAATTCTCATAGCCATGTGCACTGCCTGCCTCCTACATAAGCAACGGTTCAAGTCCCAGCTGCTCCATTTCCACTTCAGCTGCTTGCTAATGCAACTTGGAAAGCAGTGGAAGATGGCCCAAGTCCTTAGGACCCTGCACCCACATGGGAGACCCAGATGAAGCTCTTTGCTTCAGCTTGGTCCAGCTTGGCCACTGAGCCTACTTGGAGTGTGAACTAGCAGGAGAAAGATATTGTCTCTCTGTAACTCTGCCTTTCAAATAAATTAGATAAATCTTAAGAACAACATAGAAGGGTGCTAGCTCAGATTTCTCTTGCTTTTCTAACATAGTCAATAATGCCATAGTTTGTGCCTTGCTTCCACAATCTCATCTAATTCTCATCTATTTTCCCACAAGTCCCACCTCCAGCTACCATACATATAAGAATTTAGGGATTTCTTTTCTACCAGGGAACGTTTGAGGGCACATTGAAACCATAGCACTTTTATATGTGTTTAGTTCAGCAGTTATTTAGGTCCAGAGGATCTAAGATTATTAGGATACAGGGATGAACCCTCAAGGGAAGAAGATGGAGAATACAGCTGATGCTGAAGCCCAGGGGCATGCTGGGATTGGAAACTTGGACTTTATCCGGGAGTCAAAGCTTAAAGTAGAGTATGATCACTCTCATTTGCCATCTGGAAGGTAACTTTGAGGAGCCCAGGAGCCCAGGAGCCCACTGAGAAAGTTCTTGAAATAATCCAAATGAAAGGTAATACAGACATAACTGCAGCAGTGGCAACAGAAATTGAGGGTAGGTAATTGGATGGTAAAATTGTAGAATGGTTTGCATGTGAGGAGTTAGAGAATCCTCATTTCCAGCTCCGGTGTGGGAGTTTCACTAAATCTAATAGGAAAGGCAGAGTGGACATGTAGAAATGGGTGTGTGTGGATGTGTATAATGACATAAGATTTAGTGTCAGGGTTGTTAACGTGGAAGCTTTAGCATCTGGATGTGGATATTTGGAAGACAGTTGCCTGATTATAAGCCTGAAGCTTAGTGGAGAGCTAAAAGGATACAGATTTGAGCCTGCTAAAACCATGAACATGGATAAGATCGACAAAGAAATCACATGATTTAATAAGAGAAGTAGACGAAGAGTATCAGTTAGCATTGACTCTGAGTGTTCCAAGCTTCTGATCTTAATGAAATGTTAGTGCTTTATTTTGTGTAAAGTAACTACCCTGATGCTTGAGAATATCTCCTATTAATGGGGTAATGGAATATCTTATTATTGTGGTATTTATGGTGACTTATTTCTGGCTTTCTTTTTTTAAAAATATTTATTTATTTTCATTGCAAAGTCAGATATACAGAAAGGAGGAGAGACAGAGAGGAAGATCTTCTGTCTGATGGTCCACACCCCAAGTGGCCACAATGGCCAGTGCTGAGCCCACCTGAAGCCAGGAGCCAGGAACTCTTCCAGGTCTCCCACCCGAGTGCAGGGTCCCAAAGCTTTGGACTGATCTCAACTGCTTTCCCAGGCCACAAGCAGGGAGCTGGATGGGAAGCGGGGCCACTGGGACTAGAACTGATGCCCATATGGGATCCTGGCATGTGCAAGGCAAGGACTTCAACCACAAGTGCTATCATGCCCGGCCCGTTTCTGGCTTTCTGAGTGATTCCCAATCCCCCACCCCTGCTGCCTGTAAGCATATTGAAGATATAAGTAAGGGAGAGAAGAACTTTAAGAGCACAGGAAAATGAGGAAGAAAGATGAAAAGTACTGAAGGAAATAGCCATTTCCTCCAGAGTAAGGTACTTCCCTGTCCTTACTGGGATAGGCAATCCAGTGTCACACAGTGATTACATGCGTGGGCTCAGAGTCCAATTGCCTGGTCAGAGCCTGGCTCTGCTGCTTGGAGCCATGTGGTCTTGGACAAATTATAGAGCTTTCTGCATCTCTGCTTCGTCATCCATAAATAGGGATACTATTATTGGTACTTGTCTCCCAAGGTTTGTAATGAAGACTAAAGGAGATGAAACACAGCAGATGCTTACAACAGTGACTGTCATACATTTGGAAGTGAGCTGCTTTTTGTTATTATTTTATCAGTCTTGTGACTATGATGTCATTCAACAACAAGACTCATTTAGTTTGATCAAAACACAAGTGACATACAACATCAAAAGTGTATAGATCGTTAATGCTGTCAAATCAAAATGTGCTATCCAAATAAATAATGGTCCCTCTAAAACCATCATGGTTGCATTGAAAATTTGTATTCCATATCTGATGATCATAGATTATCCAGAGAGTAGCATAATATTAAATTGGAAGGGTACTATCCATATTGTATTATAGAATATTTCGTACTTGTGACCCATAAAGTCATCCTCTTAAAGTTTAGTCTGTTCTAGTTGAAGTTAATTAGCACTAGAAAATGAAGGTTTTTTTTTTTTTTATCATTTAGATCTTGTAGCATGGGTGTAAAAGCTGGTGATTTGTTGTCATATGTTTCCTTAATGACTTAATATTTGCAAACCTTGTGACTGAAGTTGAAAGCCTTGCACCCACACAGTGAGTGTGTGATAGCACTATCCAAAATCAAGTTACTTTTGTGCCGTTCTGTTATTCCCAGAGGCCTCTGCCCTGCTCTGATGAGGTTGGTTTTCTTGAGCACAGGCTGAGTTTAGCCTTGGTGCATTTGTCTGACTTTAATCATCCCTGGGATTATTAGAGACTTTGTAGGAGTCTTGAGATGATGAGGGTTTCTGTAGTACCCACAAAAAAGCCAGTGTGAGCTAGGCGTTTCCCAGCTCCCTGAACTCCTAGGCCGAGTGTCCTGGCCCAGGCCTGTCATCATGTTTAGCCCTACAGTTCCAGCTGCGGTAGCTCACTGGGATCAGGGCTGGAAAGGAAATGTTTGGACAATGTCACAGTGTTTCTAAAATTGGGAGGAAGGAGATAGGAGCATGTTTTATTTCTAAAGACTCAAATGAGGCTGGGTTATGAGCAGGAGATTTCCGGTAGACCTAAGATGGGAAACCTTCAGTAGCTGCACATTTATGAATGCTTCCTGCATGTCTGCCCAACCCCAGGGCTAAGACAAGAAATAAATACTTGGTTCTGGGTTTTTTTTGGCATTTGTGCTCTGGCTTTAAAGCTGGTAACCGTGTAGAACATTATAGAAGACTATTGATTCTCATTTTAAAACAGGGCACCATTTGGGGGGTGATGGATTTAGAGACTGAAGATCTCCCAGTGCACTTTTCTGAAATACTGTGGTCCTGGGTGAGTCCTGGGGCCCGTGGTCGGGGTAGGGAGGGAGGAGTGATGGCAACCTGATGTTAGAAATGTCTAACCAAGAGCTGAGTGAATCCGAAACCAGGAGCCTGGAGCTTCTTCTGGGTCTCCCACATGGGTGTGTCTTGGGCCATCCTCTTCTGCTTTCCCAGGTCACAAGCAAGGAGCTGGGTGGGAAGTGGAGTAGCTGGGACATGAACTGGCACCCATGAGGGATCCTGGCAGATGCAAGATGAGGATTTTGCTACTAGGCTACTGTGCCAAGCCCCAAATCAAAATACATTGCTAAGAAAACCCTGCTGATGGTTTAGATGATTAGGTCTTACCAGCCTTGTGAAAGACCTAGGGCCCCAGTTTCAGGGCTGGCTTAGTTTTGGCCGTTGCAATTAATTGGAGAGTGAGACAGCAGATGGGACCTCTTTGTCCATCTGCTTATCATATAAGTAATTAAATAGGAAGTAAATTATATTTATATAATACTTAGATCCACTTCCTGGGTGGGGGCTTGTTGACTATAAGCTGCCGTGTCTAGTAGTCAGCATACCAAATAATT